ACAGTGTGGCCAGAGGCCAAGTCGGCATGGCACACCACAAGGCGGCTCAGTAAGCCTGATGAAGGCCAAGTCCGGCCGAAACGTAGCGCTAAGGCTGAGCTAGCCAAAGGCTATAAGCCTAATTTTTTGAACCCCCACCACCTTCGGGTGGTGGTTTTAATTGGAATCGGCCAGTGGGGGCCGCAAGCAGCCTCTTCGAGGTGAGTGCATCCCCCAGGCCAGGGCTTCGCCCTGGACCTGGTTCAGTCCCCTAACCTAACCCTAACCCCTAACCCTAACCCTAACCCTCCACCCTGAACCTGGGCCTCTTCATATCGGACACCATCTCCTAAGCTTAACCCCACGGCTCCCCCCGAACTCTACCACCTGCTACCCCTAAACCCAACCCATCTTCACTTTCACTGACTCATGGACCTTCTTCCTCCCCATCCCTGCTCCTAAACCCAACCACACCTGGACGCTGGACACCACCTACTCACTCTTCCATCCTATCCCCTAAACTCAACCTCCATCTACCCTCCTCAACCCGGTCACCTGGATCCACTTCCCTAAACTTAACCACCTCAACTCAATCCAACAGAACCCGGACCTTTCACACCATCTCCTCTCCTAAACATAACCACATCTGGACCCGGGACATCACGGCTCCACCCCAGCTCCTAAACCTAACCTCTTCTAACCCCCTCAACCCTACCACTCAACCAGCAGAACCCGGACCCTCTTCTTCAACCCCCTTCCCAAATCCAACCATAACGGGACCACCGATGCCTCATTCCGTACTTACAGCACACAACCAATTTCCACAGCCTTGAATAAAATTTTCTGCCTCCTTCATTTCCATAAAATGTTTACATGAATAACTCATATGCTTAAAAATACTCACACATCGGCACACCACATCTGCAAGAGACTTGGACCTGGTGCCCAGCCCGGGGATCGAACCCTGCTCCTCTGTGTCCCAGCCTCGCGCTCTGCCGGTGAACCAACCCGATCTGGAAGCAGCACCCCCAAACACAACTACAATCACCTTAGTTTTCCATCATACAACCACTACCACAGCCATTGAATGAACTTATTACTGTTTTTTTATAAAATGCTTTTAACAACTGTATTGTCTGTTTCTTATATCTTTATGGTTGGAGATAACTTGCTTTTTTATTACAGCTCCACCAAGACAGACACATATACATTTATAACATACTACTGCCAATCTTATGTTTCCTCATAAACAATTTCATTTACGTACAATCACTTCTACCATTTATATACAACGACATCCTAACACACATACACATATGATACCCATAGAACCCCATTCACCGATAAAATTAAAACTCACACATAACTTTAATCTATCATGCTTTTACTTTATTTAACTCAATCTTTTACACATATCTTCTTATACACATCGACACATAAGAATTTTTAGACATCATGGCTGTGGTTGAAATATGCTTGTTGTTCGCCCGGACCTGGGGTCGAGCCCTGGGCTCCTGCGTCCCAGCCCTGGACTCTGCAGCTGAGCCACCTCATCTGGCAAAAGAAGAAGAACCCACATCACTAAAGACACTACAAACTGAAGAACAAAACAAAAAAAAATAAAAAAAACAAAAAAGGACCCCCCCAGGTGACCACTACTCTCTACTCTTTCCTCCTCTTCCTGTATAGTTAGGCCTGTGCAATCAAAGTTTATTATAACAATTACTCACCCTAACCCCACCCCAACCCTAACCCTAACCCTAACCCCTAACCCTAACCCTAACCCTAACCCTTTCGATCCCCGCTCCTTGCTCTTCCTTTTTTTTCTCTTTTCCATTCCCTCTCAGCCTCTTTCCCCTTCCCTACCAAGCTGCACTCATCATCCCCCCTACAGCCCAATGGTTATTACCCTGGCCTGCCACCCCGCAGACCTGAGTTCAAATCCCACTTCCGACCTTCTGTTTTTTGTTTTCGGTTTTTTTATTTTTTCTTTCAGTCTTGTTCCATTCCCTTTATTATTTTACCTGGTTTCATTTACTTACCATCATTCTCCCACAGAAATAACCACTGTTGAAATTTGGCTCCACGGACCAGCAGGCCTGTGCAACAAAAATTAAACCAATAACTTTTAACCCCAACCCGAACCCCAACCCTAACCCTATCTTGATTAATGGCCTAAACTTAACCTTAACCCTAATCTTGGCATTGATGCCTAAACCTAAAATTATAAATAAAATTAATTAAAACCCTATATTTTTTGATTTTATTTTTTGATAATAAATTAAGTTCATTATTTTTATAAAATTAAAAAATTAAAATCTTAAAAATGATCTTTATTTCATTATGATCTTTATTTCATTATTTTATGGTTAAAAACTAAAATCAGTTCATGGAAAGGTGAATTTTAATTAAAAATATCAAGAAAAGAAAGGGTTATCCTTATATTCGCCTAAAAAACCTTATGTTCGCTAAAAAAACCTTATATTCGATAAAAACTTTAAAATTCGCTAAAAACATAAAAATAACAAAGAATAGAAATAGAGGGACCTCTCAGGCTTTCAGTTCACTTTTTAGCGCGATAGAGAGGAGATACACGTGCCTGTACCTGAGGAAGACATTATATTGTCGAAACGTTGTTTATAGGGCACGTTTTTGGTTTTTCATTTATAAAACAATTTGGATTTGGTTTTAATAAATAAATAAATAAGTTAATAAATAAATAAATAAATACACTATACTTTCCACCTTTTGGAAAGCTTTTTAGTTTATATTTGTTTGGATATTTGATTTTTGTTCCTTCCCACTTAGGGAAGCGTTTTTTTGTTCATCTTTTAAATATAAAAACTTTTTTTTCTCTTACCCCCTTTGGGGAAGGCATTTTTGTTGTATTTTTGAAAAAACAAATAAGTACAAATACACATATACACAAACGAGACACACAAATATGGATGAGGGGTGGACGTTGGTGCAGCGGGGCAGGAGGGGCCAGCGCACCCGCCAACCCCAAAAAGACTGGAGTGGCCGGAGGTTCTGGGTAGGGAAGGACCGTGCACCAGCCTTCTCCTTAGGGAGGGGGACCTTCCACTATCCTAACCCCCCCCCTAACCCTAACCCCCCTAACCCTAACCCCCTATCCTAACCCTAAACCTAACTATTCGAACCCTATCCTATGCCCCCTAACCCTTGAACCTAATCTAAGCCCCACTAACTGAGCTAACCGGAAGTCTTTAAAGTCCGCCTAAGCCAAATAAATACAAAGTCCAAATAAATACAAAGCCCAAGTAAAAGTCCGATAGACGATGGGAAGAGACGCTTATGTTAAGTGCAGTGAAGAAAGGGAGAAAGCAAGGGGAGGCAAAAGAGAAGGAGAGGAGAAATTAGAGGAAGGAAAGGGAAGGAACAAAGAGGGAAAACAGAAGTGGAATGGGAAGGAGGTGAAGAAAGAATAGAAAAGGAAGGACGCAAAACACAAAACAAACAATATTAACCAAAACAAAATACTTACCTGAAAAAGAAATACTTACCTGAAAAACAAACCTAGAAAATAAATACCTACCTGAAAAAGAAATACTTACCTGAAAAACAAACCTAGAAAACAAATACTTACCTGAAACAAATACTTACCGGAAAAACAAACCTAGAAAACAATACTTACCTGAAAATAAAGGCAGGATAGGAACAAGGTAAAAAACAGGGAGTGTGAAAGGGAAATGCCTAGAGGGTATAAAAATGATCAGCGCGTCTGAGGAAGGCAGAGACATGCCGAAACGTTACGCATGCTGATCATGGAAGGCCACAGGTCTAATTTTTTGAAAACCCATCACCTTAGGGTAATGGAATTATAAAAAAACTAAACTAAGTTTCAGAAAACTAAATAATGTTTCTAAAAAATAAACTAAATATGTTTATTGTTGAAAAACTAAATAATGGTTGAAAAATCTAAACTAAGTAAAGTTTGAAGAAAAACTAAACTAAGTGCTTGGTGGAACTGGGGGTCTCTGCTGGGCATCCCTTTGATGGACCGTGCATCCACCTGCTCCAGGGCGTGACCCAGGGGGCAGGGTTCTAACCCTAACTCCTAACCCTAACCCCTAACCCTAACCCTAACCCTATTGTCGAAACGTTGTTATAGGGCACGTTTTTGGTTTTTCATTTATAAAAACAATTTGGATTTTGGTTTTAATAAATAAATAAATAAGTTAATAAATAAATAAATAAATAAATAAATACACTATACTTTCCACCTTTTGGAAAGCTTTTTTAGTTTATATTTGTTGGATATTTGATTTTTGTTCCTTCCCACTTAGGGAAGCGTTTTTTGTTCATCTTTTAAATATAAAAACTTTTTTTCTCTTACCCCCTTTTGGGGAAGGCATTTTTGGTTGTATTTTTGAAAAAACAAATAAGTACAAATACACATATACACAAACGAGACACACAAATATGGATGAGGGGTGGACGTTGGTGCAGCGGGGCAGGAGGGGCCAGCGCACCTGCCAACCCCAAAAAGACTGGAGTGGCGGAGGTTCTGGGTAGGGAAGGACCGTGCACCAGCCTTCTCCTTAGGGAGGGGGACCTTCCACTATCCTAACTAAAAATTGAAATTAAACTAAATGTTGTGTAATGATGAAACTAAATGTAGTGATTAAACTAAATGTGGTGAAACTAAATGTGGTGTAATGATGAAACTAAATGTAGTGCTTGTGTGACAGTGATGGGGCTGGGGGGACCCTGCTGGATGGCCCTTTTGATGGACCGTGCATTTTCCTGCTCCAGGGCATAGTCCTTGGGGTGGGTCCAACCCTAACTACTTAACCCTAACCCTAACCCTGTCCTGGTTCAGTTTCTAATCCTAACCCCCTTATTCATTTATATTCCCCCCCCCCCCCTGTTTTTTTTCCCCCCACCCCTACCCTCTTCCCTAACCTTAAACTTCACCCCAAACCCCCCCTTTTTTTTTTTTTTAAACTTTATTTCACCCACTAACTCTATACACAACAACCAACTCATCCCATCCCACAGTAGCAATAGCCTAATGGTTAACACTCTTGTCTGTCACCCAGCAGACCTGGGTTCAATCCCCACTCCCTGCTCCTTCCCCCCCCCCCCCCCCTTTTTTTTTTTTTTCCTTCCCCCCTTTTTTTCTTCTCTTGAACTTCCTCAGCCTCTTACCCCTCTAGCATTAAGTTGGTCTTATCCCCTCCCTTAGCTTAATGGTCAGTACCTCCGTCTGCCAACCAGCAGACCCAGGTTCAAATCCACCTCCTACTCATCAATTTCTTTATTACTTTTATTTTTACTTTTTTTATTTTTCATCTCTGTTTATTTATCATCTCTTCTTATGACAATTCCTTTTATCCCCATTTCATTTATCCATGCTTGAAGTTTGGTTTTACAGATCAGCAGGCCTGTGCAACAGAGAATCATCGATTACCCTTAACCCGAACCCGAACCCCCTAACCCCCCCAACCCGAACCCGAACGCTAACCCTAACCATAACCACTCCGGGTAGTGCCGAAACTTAATTTATAATCATTTTAATTGTAATTAATACATTAAAAAATAATTCATTGGTTTAAATAAATAATTAAAAACAATTCATTGTTATTTACAAAATATTAACAAGCTCATAAAAATATTATATTAGGTTAAAAACTCAATTTCATAATTATTAGAGGGTAAAATTCATTAAAAACCCGTTTTTTAAGGGTTAAACCATTTAGGCGAGAGAAAATAAAAAAAGACGAGAAATACGAATTTCGGCGAGAAATAATACTCGGCGGTTATAAATAGGAGCGCCTATCGGCGATTCATTCACTTTGGGAGTAGGAGAGAGTAGAGAGCAGGACTTTTTTTTTTGAGAGTTTTTTTGGGTTTTTTTTTAAGAAAATAATAGTGCCCTGCCTGAAGAAGACACACAGGTGTCGAAACGTTGCACAGGGCACAAATTTTAATTTGATATTTTAAATTTGAAGAGAATTAAAAAAGTAAAGCACTATAAAAACATTAAAAATTTAAAAATACAAAAACATTTAAAAATTTAAAAACATAAAAAGGTTTTGATTTCATTGCCCAAATTTGGGTCTCTCTCCTTGTTTTTGGAGGAGTATTTTTTGTTTAAATTTTGATTTTTTCCTTTCCTATAAGTGGGAAAGTGTTTTATTTGTATTTTTATTATAATTCAAAAAAAGTTTTTTTCACTTCTTAATTGGAAGCCTCCGTAAGTTGTTTATAATTTCATTTTATTCATAAAAATTTAAAAACAAACAAAGAACAATAACAAACAAGAAGACAATATGGAGGACGGTTGGACTCGGGTGCAGTACGGTGGGAGGCACGGCGCGCCCGTCAACCTCAATCTCGAGGGGACCAGGGGTTTCGGGGATTCAGCGGGGGGATGGCCAGAGCACTTACCTCTCATTTAGAAGGGATCAGTTTGTGGTTCCTAACCCTAAACTTAACCTTTGACCTCGAACCCTAGTCTGGTGACATTTGTGCCTAAACCTAAAGTTGAATTAAAAAAAAAAGAAAAAAATAATAAAAAAATATAAATAAATAAAAAATAAAAAAATATATAAATAAATAATTAATAGTTGATTGGAGTAATTGATTTTATTTATGAATAAAGAATTAATATTATTTTATTTTATAATGATAAATTAAGTTCATATTATTAAAAAAAAAATCTTAAAAAATACTTTTATTTCATTATTTTAAGGTTAAAAACTAATACTAATTCATGGAAAGGTCAATTTTAGTTAAAAACATTAGAAAAGAAAGGGTAATCCCTGTATTCGCTAAAAATCTTATATTCGCTAAAAACCCTAACCCTAACCCTAACCTTTAAAATTCAAGAAAAAGTTAAAATTTGATAAAAACACAAAAAGAACAGAGCTTGGAGGATTCTAGTTCACTTTTCAGCGCTAGAAGGAGGGAGACACACGTGCCTACACCTGAGGAAGACAGAGATCTGTCGAAACGTGTGTTATAGGGCACGTTTTTTGTTTTTCACATATAAGAACATTTTTGATTTTGGTTTTAATAAATAAATAAATAAGTTAATAAATCAATAAATGAATACATTATTCTTTCCACTTTTGGAAAGCTCTTTTAGTTTATATTTGTTTAAAAATTTGATTTTTCATTCCTTCCCACTTTGGGAAGCGTTTTTGTTCTTTTAAACATAAAAACATTTTTTTTTTAGCCCCTTTGGGGGAAGTCAATTTGGTTCATTTTGAAAAAAACAAACAAAAAAATAATTTAATATGGATGAGGGGTGGACATTGGTGCAGCGGGGGCAGGAGAGGCCAGCGCACCCGCCAACCCAAAGAGACTGGAATGGCCGGAGGTTCTGGGCAGGGAAGGACCGCGTACCTGCTTTCTCCTTAGGGAGGGGGATCTTCCCTATCCTAACCCCTAACCCTAACCCTAGCCCGAGCCCAAAAAATGGGGGGGTGCGTTAAGGTTTCAAGTCTCTACGACCTTCCTATCAAAAGTTATTCAACTTTTAAACCCACACAGACAGAAGACAAACACAAGCAGACAAAACGCAAACAGACAGGACAGGAAACACAAACAGACAAAACACAATGCAAACAGACAGGACATAAAACATAAACAGACCTACCTGGAAATAGGAGAGGAGTCACAGACAGGAGGAGTATATAACCTGCACGCGTGTGCCATTCTGGCCAAAAACATTCCACCAGATCAGCTCGCCTGAGGAAGGCTGAAATTAGCTGAAACATTGCGCACAGGCTGATCTAATAAAAAGGCTTAGGGCCTAATTTTTTGAAAACCCACCACCAATTGATGGTGGAAAATAAAATACAAAAAAGTCAACACAGACAGGCACGCAATACAAGGACAACAGAACCACAAACATGGACTAGACATACATACAATCACAATAAGGACAGGACAACGCAGGACCACAAAACATGGATTAGGCAGACACAAAAAAACAGGACAGGGCAACATAGAAACCACAAACATGGATTGGACAGATACAAAAATGGGACAACACAGAACCACAAAACATGGACTATATCACACACACATAAGACCAAGGACAGGACAACCCAGAACTACAAACATGGATTGGACAAACACAAAAACAGGACAACATAGAACCACAAACATGGACTGGACAAACATAAAAAAAGGACGAGACAACATAGAACCACAACATAAGGACTACACACACCACACACACACAAGGACAGGGACAGGACAACACTGAACCACAGACATGGATTGGATGAACATAAAAACAGAACAACATAGAACCACAAACATGGACTGGACAAACACAAAAACAGGACAAGACAACACATTAAGAATTATTTAGGATGGGGGACTCAGCCTGGGAACGCCGTAGGTGGACAGTGCACCTCCTCCCCCAGGGCGTGGCCATGGGGGATGGTTCTAACCCTTTTACCTAAAACCCCGAGACCCCAAAGACCTAATTGGTTTTCTTGGGACCGGGGGGAGATGGAGGTCGGAGGGAGGGAAGGACCGAGCCTTCCCAACCCTCGGCTGAGGGGATGGGGTTCTGACCCTTCTCCTAACCCTTATAGTGACGCGTTTTTTTTTTGCACTTTACGTTTTTTATGTTCAGATTTACAAGGCCAGTGGCATGTAAATCTTTATAAAAAACAGCAAACAGAGGAGGTGCCACAAGCACAACGTGAGACAGTACAAGCTACGGGACTGTGTGTCCCAGCCTCAGCAGCAGCTCAGCAGCAGCAACATACTTTCTCTGGTATTGTACATGTAGTATATGGCTGTAATTAATGGATATCATGAGCCCTACCAGGTGCTTCTTTTTAAACTTCCTCTTCCCAAAGCATTTACCTCAAGTATGCCTTACTATCTTCATTCTTTCAGGAGGGCCAGAGGTTGGAGCAGCACCTGGAGGAGGAGCAGCAACCGGAAACCCAGGAACTCCAGCAGCTGGAGGACGGAAGCCGGGAGAAAGCCGGGACGAAGCCCCGACACAGCAACCCCAGTCCCCATTGCTTCTTGGTAAATTGTAATGCGTCTCTTTATCTCTCTCTCTTTCACACACTCACACACACACACCACACAAGCAGGCCAAAAAAAGCCCGACACAACATTCCCACTCACAGATTGTCAATGTTCATATTTTTGCATAATTGAATTTTCATATTTGTGATCAATCCAATGCAATTTCTTGGCAGGAAAAGCATGAAAGACAATTGCAAGTGAATGGGAATAAGCCTCTCTGTGAATTTGAGTCAATCCATGTATTACTGTGTGTTTAAAGTCACAAAGCTTGGAAGATTGTGTATGTCTGTGAAGGTTCTCAGTCATCCAGGTCATCTTTATCCTGTGGGTTGTAGAAAATAAGGCAACTGGACTTCTTATCTTGTTTGAAGACGTTTCGCCTCTCATCCAGAGGCTTCTTCAGTTCGGAACTGAACTGTACTCGGTGACACCGATGTCGGCATGTTCGGCAGGTTTTTGCTTGTGTCATTACAACATCTTGTTTGTTTGTGTTAAAAGTCTTTCGGTTTTTGTGTGTAGTGTAGTGTATTTCCACCCAACATCTCGACTGTTTTACATTTAAAGTGTTGTGCACTCGTCCTTTGTATGTTTTAGTCATGTGTTAAGGAAGGATGTTTATTAAGTCCTTCTGACAGGTTTCTTTACGACCTATATTGGTAGGTTGAACAAAAGGAACGTGCCTGGAGGCAAGTAGTTACCTATTTGGTTTCCTGGTTAACATACCAGACCTTGACATACCATAAAAAACAGGAGACAAGGTTAAAGGTCAAAAAAGGGCAACTGACCATAGGTTGAGATAAGAGCTTGACAGATGTGCAAGCGACTCCGGAATGTCCGAAGGAGTGGACTTAGAATGGTATATAAAGGGGAAGTTTGGGATGGTCAGCAGAGTCTCCACATTGGCACGGAGGGGCTCTGAGATTCGGCCTGTTGACACTGTACTCTTTTATAATAAACCTTTTTTCATTGAACCAAGAAGACGTGTCAGAGTGGTCATCTTCATCGGCATCCACATCAAAATACACAACAGTGCATCTTACTTAAAGCTGATTAACAGCTTGTT